TTGTGGTATCTCCCCCTCTGGCAGTCTGATGAAGTCTAGCATCCTTTCCCAGAGAGCACGCTTTCTAATACAGAAAATAAAACACCCCGAGCTCAAGGAAAACCAGTTATATGGGAATAACAGCTATCACTGTAAAAATCTATGCTATGATAATACGTATGCTTCTTGGTTGACACTGCACAATCAGAAGGCATTCAACGCCATCGAGCCAATGTCGACTCATAGCGACCCCATAGGACAGGGCAGAACTGCCTCTGTGAGTTTCCAAGACTGAAACTGTTTGTGGGAGTAGAAAGCCCGGTCTTTCTCCTGAGGAGCAGCTGGTGGTCTTAAACTGTTAACCTTGTGGATCGCAGCCCAACAAGTACTACTACACAACCAGGGCTCCTGGGAAGAAGGCAGAGCAGGTCTTAAAATGACCGTCATGTTGACGAATTTATGAACATTCATGACAGTTTGAGCAAGACCTTTGATGACTTCTCACCACTGAAGCATCTCTAAGAGCGACGACCCACAGAGGAATGAACTTGGCAGCCACTGCTCGTCTTCACACACTTACTCATAAGGAAAGCCCACAACATCTTCTGGGGCTTTTTAACCTGGGCCCCACAGATCCCTCAGGAGGTCAATGGATAAAACTGAGGTGGGCCTGTTGCCCGCACCCCACCCCCCCAAAAAGGGTGGGGAAAATTGCATTTTTCGTTTTTCATTACTTTCTCACTCCTATTGAACACCGACACTGAAGAAGGAGGGGAAGACGAGTTTCTCTACTCGCACACAGCGCCGCCATCTCAGACACGCATGGTGGCGATTCTCCCCTGGCCCCGAGGGTCACTGTGAGTGGGAATCCACTGGAAGCCAGTTTTGAGGCTGGGTGTGATGAAGCACAGGCACGGCGACTGTCACTAGGCCTGCGGCATGCATCTACACTGGAGAGAAGTGCTCAACGCTCAGTCGGTATGGGGCACCCACCATTGGCATCACCCAAGGAGATCAAGTAAAACCAAAAAGGTGCACTGCCATTGAGTTGATGCCGACTCTTAGTCACCCTACAGGACAGGGTAGAAGTGCCGCCCATGGGTTTCCAAAATTGTAACTGTTCACAGGGGTAGAAAGGCCCCTCTTTCCCCCGAGGAGCCGCTGGTGGTTTTGAACCACTGACCTTGAAGACAACAATACAGCTCGCCACCACGATGCCAGCAGGGTCCCTTTACGTTAGCTAAAGTCGCTCCAACATGGAGACATGGGGTCAGCAGGGGAATACCTAGTATTGATCCCATGCCTGTACCTATAGCAACCCGTCCACACCAGCGGGGACAAGGAGCCAGAGGACGTTGATTTTAAGAGACTCGTACTGGGTTTCCTTTTCTGGTGGTCAGTCAGAGCGCCCATGAACTTACTCAGGAGATGGGGATCATGATCTCAGAAACAGGCCTGGGAGACCCAGAGGGAAATCTGTTTGCTAGGGTATTTCTTTAGTTCCCAGATCAGGTTATTCCTGCAGGAAGACGGGGTCTTCCCCTTTAATCCAAAGAATGTGAGTTTGCTTGTTTGTTTGTTTGTTTGTTTGTTTCAAATCTCAGGCCCTCAGACCCTAAGCCTGGTCCCTGCAGCAGGGCAGACTCAATGTGGAGCTGCTCTCCCCAGCCCACAGTGGCCCCGGCTATACACACGTATCAAAAGACTTTAAAAAATGTGGCCCCACGTGGGTTCTTTTCTTTTTTCTATCAGTTTCCTCGTGGGGCTGTCGCATAAGCATTGGACGATGACCACAAGGTTGATGGGTCAGACCCACCAGCCTCTCCGAGGCAGAAAGATGAGGCCGCGGCAGACAAGCTTTATAAAATCTAGGAGACAGGCGTGTTGGGCTGCTAACCACAGGGCAGCAATTCAAAGGCACCCGCAGCTGTTCCGTGGGAGGAAGATGGCTTTCTGCTCCCAGAAAGAGTGACCGTTCTACCTTGGGCCTGTAGGGTCGCTGTGAGTCACAGCCAACTCGGTGGCAGCAAGATCAGGCAGAATCACCTGGATGGCAGTGGGTTTGGTTGGGGGATTTTTCATAGAACATCAGGGTTTGTCTTGATTCATACAGACTGAAACAATTCACTTAGCCTAATAACAATGGCAAACATGCAATTAGCCTCATTTGTTGTTACGTGCCATCAGTCAGTTCTGACTCACAGCAACCTACCTGCCTTCGGCAGAAGGGAACACTGCCGGGGCCTGCACAACAGGGCGCTCTCCCAGGTTCTGGGGGAGAATTCTCCACCCCACGTGGGACACTGAGGTTTGATGCCCAAGCCAATGCGCCTGGTGCGTAACCACTACCCCATCTGCCAATGGAGGCCCGGGTGTTACTGTGATGGGGAAAGGTTTCCATGGAGCTTCCAGACTGAGGCAGACTAGGAAGAACGATCTATCAGCCAATGACCACTGATCACGGATCATCATGGTCTGATCCTGGGGTGGCACAGGACTGGCTTGCATTCTGCTGGGCATCGGGGTTGCTGTCAGTCAGTCAGGGGCCAGCTCCACAGCAGCTGACAGCATGCACTAGGCACCGGTCTAATAACTACTAACCCCTTGATGCCTCATAATGGTCCTCTGGGAGAGGTCCACGTTTTATCCCCATTTTAAAAATCAGGAAACTAGTCGCTGGCAAAGTTGAGATTCACAACAAGCAGCCTGACTCCAGAACCAGCCATGAGTAACCAAAGCAGGGATTGAGATTTTTATCTTTAAATTCCCAGCACCAAGAACAATGCTGATTCAAAATAAATGATTCAGTCAGAAATATTTATTGAGCAAGCAATTATGACAGAATTGCAAGGTTTTTTTAAAAAAACATTTAGCAGTTCTCAAAGGGGAAAAAAAATCCTGTCTGCTGCTTCAATTATTCTTGAAAGAAAAATTGATTACCAGCAATTTCCCATCACCCCCCAGGAATTGGTGCCATCGACAAAGACTCAAGCAAGCAGCTCAAAGCCACCAGCCAGATGGAGCCATGTGTTTCCGTAAAGAAAACTCCCTTGGGAACCCTGTGGGGCTCTTCTGCTGCATAGAACTACTAATCCAAAGGTCACCAGTTCGGTCCCACCCGCCGCTTCTTGGGAAAACGGTGAGGTTTTCTACTCCTATAAAGATTCAGGGCCTTGGAAACTCACAAGGACAATCCTACTCTGTCTGATAAGGGTTACTATCAGTCAGGATCAACTTGATGGCAGCAAGGGTTTTTTGGGTTTTTTTTAGAGGAGTGAAAACTGACTCTGGAGAAACCGGTTTGAACAGAGTCTGGCTCAGCCACCCACTTGGTTATCTTTCCTACCAAGGAGGGGTCAGGGAAAGGGATAGATAAGAGACTAAAACTGGGGGCGGGGGGCGGGGGGTGGGGTGGAGCCCTAGAAGTCATTAAAGAAAATCAGGGGCAACCTTAAAGGGTCATGGGCAGGGGTGGTTCTTCATGGCACAGTCCAGAAATGACCAAGTGTCCCTCAAGAGATGATGGCTAGACAAACAAAATGTGGAGTACATACTGAAATATTATTCTGATCTAAAACACAATACCCAGCGTGGGGAAGGGAGACAGCGGTTGGTGTAAGATATGAAAATAATAATAATTTATAATTTATCAAGGGATCACAGAGGGGGAGGGTAAAAAGAGGAACTGATACCAAGGGCTCAAACAGAAAGTAAATGTTTAGAAAATAATGATGGCAACAAACGTACACATATGCTTGATACAATTGATGTATGGATTGGTTTTTGTTTGTTTGTTTTAATCACTTTATTGGGGGCTCATGCAACTCTTATCATAATCCATACTGTGTGGATTGCTTTTAAGAGCTGTAAGAGCCCCCAATAAAATGATATTTTAATTTAAAAAATAAAACAAGATACCCACAGATCTTGAAAACATTTCAAAGTCAGGTGGGGAAGGTCCCGTCCTCAGGCCATATAAGGCCTGTGAAATCACCTGTCTCAGCTAGCCTAACATGCCTCACCAGAGAAGCCTGTGAAATCACCTGTCTCAGCTAGCCTAACATGCCTCACCAGAGAAGCCTGTGAAATCACCCGTCTCAGCTAGCATAACATGCCTCACCAGAGAAGCCTGTGAAATCACCCGTCTCAGCTAGCATAACATGCCTCACCAGAGAAGCGGTTCCAACCATCACGTTCCAAACCAAACTCACCGCCACGGCGTTGATTCCCACTCACAGCGACCCTATAGGGCAGGCTAGAACTGTCCTGTGGGTTTCTGAAACCGTAACTCTTTCCAGGAGTAGAAAGCCTCCCCCTTGGAGAAGCTGGTGGTTTTGAACTGCTGACCTTGCAGTTTGCAGCCCAATGCATAACCACTATGACCCCTGGCTCCTGGGGGTGAGTTAATGAAATGTTTGACCAGCATGGCCCACAAATGATGTTATAAATATCCAAACAGCCCTTGACAGAAACAAAAACTCCCCATCTCTGTAGGTAAATAAGCCATCTACTTAAAAATGTACTTAAATATATGAAAAAAACAAACATTGCATGCTCCCACGAAATGTCTAGACTAAGAAAATAACTGCATGAAGAGCAAAGTAGGTAAGAGATCCCCAGGGGTGCCTCAGGCAGAGGAAATGGGGAGTGGTTGCTTACGAGTACTGAAATTCTGTCCGAGATCATGAAAAAAACATCTTGGAAACAAACAGCAGTGTTGGTTATAATAAATGTCACTGTCTTGCACGTTAAAATGGCAAATTTCAGATCATATGCAATATTTTTTAATTAAAGAGTAGAAGAGAAAAACGGCTACATTCTGGCCACTTGGAGGACCTAGCTCCCCATGTACACAGGCGAGGAAGCCCTGCTGGGCTGAGGCCCCGCATGCGTGCCAGCCAGGAGCCGCACACCAGACGGCACACAGCCCAAACCAGGCTCCTAGACAGCTCACAGTGTGGTGTTTGGGAAGGGGCAGAGCGCAGGCGTTCCCGCATTTCCCGGGAGGCAGTGGGACTCACCTGTAGGTGTATGGCCCCACTTCTGTGACCTGAGGGGTCTCCCCTTGGAGGATCTCCTCTGGGTTGGTGACGTTGAAGAAATAGAACTGGGTGTACACAGGCAGAGGTGGCTTCTCCCAGGAGTCAAAGGTGTCAGTACCATTCTTTAACACGATATTCTAGGAAAGAAATGCAAAAGGACATTTACAAAAATGTGAGGCTTTGAACACAGGAGACAGAGCTGGGGCATGCTTCCTACTCGAACTTTTCAAACCAAACGCACTGTCATGCATCGATTCTGATTCATAGCGACCCCACAGGACAAGATGGAACTACCCTTATGGGTTTTCAAGACTGTAACTCTTGACAGGAGTTGAAAGCCTAGTCTTTTGCCCAAGGAGAAGCTGGTAGTTTTGAACAACCAACTTTACAGTTAACAGTCTAATGCATAACCACCACAACACCAGGGATCCTAGATCTCTTATTTTAAAGATTTTACAGGCATTTAACAGCAGTCTTGGAGAGCAGTCATCTTTTACACCAATTTAAAGCCCCCAGCTGCTGCCCCTCCCACCCCCAATCCAATTAAGTCATGGACAATCTTCAATAAACATTTGCTATGTAAAGCAAGGAACTAGAGGCATAGCTTATATATGGAAACAGTATTACCAGCGCTAACAATGAGTTATGGTGCAGTTGATTTAGTTGGCCTGGCTCTTCTAACCATAGTGGGCTGTGGGAAACAGCAAGATTTCTCCGAAGTCATCTCCCCCAAATATGTTAGACTTAGAACGCTGCTTGCAGCTAATGGTAAATGATTGTCAAGTTACTTCCCTCAAGGCAGTCAGCTGCCAGACTACTGTCTAGTCCCACCAAGGGTAGGCCTGCTCCCTGGTGCCAAGGACAATGGGCTACTTCTCCCTAAAAGCTTGCAGTCATCCATTTGGTTCCTGTAGGTACAGTTCACACCCTACTGATATTGGTCTCTATAGTTGAGCCAGGGAACAGGTCAAACCGGCTCAGTGACATCCAAAGTTAGACTGCCATCCTGAATCTAGGATCCACCCATCTTGCCACATGTATACCCTCAATCCCTCCTCTTCCTATTGCGTGGATACCCCTAGATCACCCCCTCCCATTACTGTATTACCTATAGCACAACCCTTTCCTGTGACATAAGTCTTCACCTGTAATTAGGGGACTTACATGTCCCCAGAGAATATAAAAGCCTTGGCTAGCATTAAATCTCTCTCTCTCCATGTGTACAACCAAGGGAGGCTGAGGTGAGCATGCTACCATGAAATGTGTCTGACTCCATTATTTCTCTATCTCATGCTCTTTATGACTTTACTATAATCTTTACTTATTATTGCTATACAATTGCACCTACAGGACTCATGATGATGTGTTACGGGCTCGATTCCCCTCACAGTGGGCACATGAAAATGGGGTGTGTGGGACTAATATGAGGGGATGTGTCAGCTTTGCCATTTCACTTGAGTATAAAGTGAGCCATCTCAGAAGCAGGAATGGGAGAACCTCACAGCCATCAAGACAGAAGAGCCAAGAAGTGGCATCAGCAGAGACCATGAGTCAGAGCAACAGGCTTCCCAGCCCATGTGATGAGTAAAGCTGAGCGCCTCCCAGCAGGAGGCTAGCGTGCAGCCTTGGGTGCTCTTTGGGCATTTAACAGTGCCAGGAGAGCTTTGTAAAAATTGTAGAGCAGGGCAGAGGACATCAGGCTGTGTAGCTGAGGACCAGAGAGAGACGTTCCTTCGAGCATGGCTGAGAAAAGGCACGGAAGACAAAGGAACTGTACCCTTAACATTTCTGGTGCTGATTTTTACCCTGTTAGCTTCCCTAATGAACTCCTATAATTGTGAGGACTGTCGGTGAGTGCTTTGTGGCCACTACAGAGAAGATCGCGAGAAGTGGGGGATCCCTTGGACTGCACAGATGGTCGGCCCAGCCAAGAAGTAGAGTGTGCCACAGGAGGACAGTTGAGGTCAGAATAGTCTGGAGAAGTTGGGAGGGTGGAGGCATTTCTAACCTCTGCCTCTTAGTAATTATCCGTGGGCAGAGAGGAGTTGGATTCTCCAGCTCCCTTCAGAAGCAGGAGGAATCAGCCATGGCCTTTACGCTGCTCTGCAAGGCCACTCGGGTCAGTGCCGGGCACTCACGGCTTGCCCAATAGAGGAGTGCACAGAGGGTTAAGTCCAAGAAGGCCAGTTTTGGTCCTTCCAGTTGAAGCAGAACCATAATCCATGGCTACCAGCACCCCCACCCCACCCCCCCAAGGGCTTTACATGCATTTTCTCATTCAAGACCCAACAAACCCATCCTGCAGAGATACCTGTTTGGTTAGGTGAAGTGCTTATGATGGATTACATCTTTCATCCATAACCCTTCACTTCCCACGCTTCTCAAGGCTCCCATGTGAGGAGTAGTCTTCCCATTCCTTCTGACTATGGGCTTAGCCAAGGGACTTCTGTAACTATAATGTGCCGTAAGTCCTGGCAGGGTTCCACCACCTCTCTCGCAACATCTACCTTCTGCAGTGAGAAGACCTTGCCCGCAGGTAGTTGTTGTTCCGCTAGTTACATCTTAAAATGAAAGCATGGTGGCCAGCCCTCAAATGAACGGGAGGTCTGAAGTCCTGCCAGGCTCGCTGTGCCAGTCAAGCCCAGACAAACCGCAGCCAACCTGCTGACCATGAGCGTCACAGAGCTGTTGCTATCACAAGCCCTGAAGTTAGGGGTCGGCGGCATCAATGGGCTCCGGCACGGGAACAATGCCAGGACGGCCCAGGATCGGGCAAGGTTTCCTTCTGTGGGGCATTGATGGGTTGGAACTGACTTGATGGTGCTGAACAACAACACCTACACTCAACATTGCAGAGACCCGATTAGGAGAGTGCAGTGTTAACAGGCGGAAACCTAATTACCTGTGGCAGTTACATAACCTGGCGTCAATTTGGGACTTGAGAGGATTCAGGGTGAAGGGATGGAGTCTAGTCTGTCAGTTGGGTCATAGCCAATGAGGCCTCTGTGTGGACATGGCTTTCTCCTGAGGATTCTGAGAACTCCTGTATTTTCCTCCTTGGGGGCGGGAGGCACTTCTCACTCTCTGCTCACTCCCTGAGATGATGCTCTGACAAGACCTGACAAGACACACGGTACTATGCTGACAGACCCCATGCCCTGGGAGATGGAGAAGCCATGTGGAGACCCCTGCCAGTGCTGAGATGCTTACACCACCACTGGATCCAAAGATTTTCTACCCACTGGCTTGTGACTGTCCTGCATTCAGCGTCATTGCATGTGTTTTGAGAGTCTGAAGAGGACTTTATAGATTGGTATGGGACATATGGGCTAATAATGGACTTATGGGCTTGGACTGGACTGGGTTTGGATGCTTTCTTAATGTACAATTACCCTTTATATAAAACTCTCTCTTATACACATGAGTTTCGACAGATTTGTTTCTCTAGTCTACCCGGACTAACACAATACCTCACAGTACTTTTTCTTCTCCCTGTGAGGTGCCATCAAGTCAATGTTGGATCCCTCGCTGTCCGGTGTGACAGGGAGAACTGTACCGCAGCTCTCACTACTCTCAATCTTTCCAGGAGCCCTGGTGATGGAGCAGCTGTGCACTGGGCTGCTAACTGCAAGGGCAGGCGCTGAAACACCAGTTGCTCCACAGGAGGAAGATGAGGTTTTCTACTCCTGTCTAGAGTGGCAGTCTTGGAATCAGTTCTACCCCATTTGATGGCAGGGAGTTTGGTTTGTTTGTTTGGAGGGGAGTCTTTACAGAAGCAGATCATCAGCCTTTCCCCCTCAGAGCCACTGGACAGGTTCAAACTGCCAAACTTCAGGTTGGCAGCTGAGTGCTTAACTGTTGCACAACTCCTTTGGGGGTGGGGTCCTCTTTAAGGAGTCCTAACAGTGCTAACAAGGAAGGCAAAGGCACAGAGTGAAACAAACAAAGCAAAAGTGGACCTGTGGCTAATTCTAATTGTTCAATTTGTTAAAATAATAAATTTACAAAAGTCACATAGAGGGGTGGTGGGAAATGTTAAAGAAAATCAAAAGAGGAAAATGAGGTGGACCAATCTAGACAATATGAGACACAATAAGTATGTGTAATAGCCGTCTGATGTCATCTGTCACTCCCCTGGCAGGGAGCCTCTGACTGACAATACACAAGGGATACGATTCAGAACATGTCAGAAACCACAAGCTACAAATGTATGCTACTGTGATACAGCATTCAGCAGCATGCCAAATGTCACTAGTCCAGGTCTCCAATTTCAGAAAAGCTATGTTGCAATTCAATGTAAAGAAAACCAAAATCCTCCCATAAGGAACAGAGAAAAGATTGAAGTTGTCAGGGAATTTATCTTGCTGGGCTCGACAATCAATGATCAAGAGATCCAGTGATGTGTTTATTACATTGGGTACATCTGCTGCGCCAGACCACCTTAAAGTGTCGGAGAGCAAGGATGTCACTTTGAGGACCACTGTGCACCTGGCCCAAGCCATGGTCTTTTCAACCCCCTCACATGCATGTGAAAGGAGCACACTGAGTCAGGAAGGCCGAAGAAGAATGGGTGTGTTTGAATTATGGAGCCAGTGAACTTTGGACTGCCAAAGGACAGACAAATCTGTCTTGGAAAAGGTACAGCCAGAATGCTCCTTTCAAGGGAGGGGGGCGACTACATCTCGCATCTTTGAGGGTATTGCCAGGAGAGACCAGACTCAGGAGAAGGACACCGTGCTTGGGAGAGTACAGGGGCAGCAGAACAAAGGAAGGCCCTTGACGAGATGGATTAACCCCGCAGCTGCCACCAGGGGCTCAGACAGACAACTGTGAGAATGGTGCACGACTGGCCAGCATTTCAGTTTGTTGGACACAAGGCTGCCATGAGTCAGCACCAACTTGATGGTCCCTAACAATGTTGCAAGGGAACTTCAATGACGGAGCTCTGTTATTAAAAAGATCATAGCCCCCAAATCTCTACAAGGGGGTGGAATGGCCCCAGAATAAATGAATACAGTAGAAAATCTAGGTTAAGTCCAAGCAAAGCTAGCCATCCAGAGCACTGGAAATTAATTCACACCCACAAGGTCAGCAGTTCGGACCTGCCAGCCTCTCCAGGAGTGTGAGGAGGCTGTCT